GTTCTCAGGCTATCGGACGGAGGCCCAATTCCAATTCAATTGGGCTTTAGGCCTGATTTCAATTCAATGGGGCTTCAGGCCTAATTTTAATTCGACTGGGCCTAAAGTCTTATTTCAATTGGACCCGAAGCCCATTTTGTTCTTTAGGCCCAGCCTACCTTTTATTTTCTTTATTTTATTAAATTAAAAAAACTATAAAAAATAAAAAAAAGAGAAAAATATAAAATACAACAATACAAAAATAGAAAAAATAAAAAAGGGGGCTGATGGTAGTGGTGCCTTGCACGGCACCACTGGTCAGCTACCCCTTTGATCACCTATCCCTCTGGTCACCCATACCCTGCAGACCTTGTCCACCCCATCATACATCCTAAACCACCACGCCTTGTACTCCTAACCATTGTGTCCTACCACTATTAGATCAGACAAAAGAAATAAAAAGGGTAAGGAGCTCGTGCTTGCACCCTCATGCCGAGCCTTGTGCCACTTACTCAAGCACAAGGTAGGTCGGAGCTCTCTAAATAGAGCTCTTGACTGAACCCAAAAAAGAGAAGAAGGGACGTCGCCAAAAAAATGAAGAAAAAAAACACATTAATAAACAGAAAACAAAGAAAACACAAAACTCAATCCTCTGGAACGAGGAACCCAACACCGAGAGCCTTTGCACACAAAAAAACAACAAAGTCAGTTTCAAAAAAAAAGTCAAAATACCAAAAAAAAAGGTTTAACCAAAACTTTAAAAGTAGATCTAGGTTGTTTGGGTTTCTTTCGGTGGAAAAGGAGGTTGGATTTGCATTTAGGGGATCGAGATGAGCATTTTAAGAGATTTTAGAAATTTTCAACACTGGCGACGGTGGTCAGAGCTCGCCGTCAATGAGGACCATGGTGGCCGTCAAGACGAACAGTCACCAGCCCCATATTGGTTTGAAAAAAAAAGAGAGATTTTTTTTTGGGCAGAGGGGGAGAAATGAAGTAAATTTTTTTTTTACTTTTATAAAGTTGCCAACAGCCAAAACGACGTTTCATTTAAACACCAAAATGACGTTGTTTTGAGTAGAGGAATTCGACGCTAGCCTTTGACCGACTCGGGGTCCGTGCACCCAACCCGATGACTCGTTTTACCTTTAACTTTTGACCAGTTCAACTGAACCGAAATCGAGCCTTCGAACCAGATTCCGGATCGACCTCGAACTGCTGAGCCCGAGCCAGATTGGTTCCAAACTTCTGAACGTGACTAAACCGTCGAACCGACATTGATCGGACCGTTGACAAGATCGATTTAGGTAAAAAAAATTTTTTTTTTAAATTTTTAATTTTTTTCAAATATTATTTTTGTTATTTTAAATTTTGTTAATAATATTTATGCATGGTAAAATGCTTAAATTTGCTAGAATAAATTTTGGTTGTTTTATAATATTAGCAAATAAAAATAAATAATGAAATATATTGAAAAAATTTGTGATAATTTTGTTATTTTTAAAATAAATCTTATAAAATAATAAAAAAATAAGAAAAAATAAATTTTTATCCGACGATGAGATTAAAAGGTACTTCGAGTAGTGATACCTATAAAATCTCTAGGTGAGAAGATTTTTTTTTAAATACTACCATTGTATTGCAGTATTTATATAAAAATTTTCAATACAATAAAAAATTATTTTTTTGTTATAAAATAATAAATAATAATTAATTAATAAATTAAGAATAGATAAGAAAAAATGAGAAAAAAAGGAAAATTTATCTAATGATGGGATTCTAAAAGTATTACGAGTGAAGATGCTTTAAGAAATCTTAGGTGAGAAGTATTTTTTAAATATTATCAGTGTATTGAAATATTTATGAAAAATCTTCAATATAATAAAAATTCTTCTTTTCTTCATTTTTTAAATGAAAATATTAATAAAAATTAATAAATTTTTTAAATAAAAAATAAGATGTGTTCAACAACATGTCATTATTGGCATTGCATACATGACATAATTTTTACGAAAAATAAATTCGGACCTCAGAGGATGAGATTCTAAGGTATTCCGAGAAGTGATATCTAAAAAATTTTTAGGTGAGAAAAAGTTCTTCTAATATTACCAATGTACTGGAATATTTTAAGAATTATTTCAATAAAGGGTTCAAATTTATTTTTCTCAAATTAAACTTGAATAATAAATATCAAATAAGTAATAAATAAAAAAATAATTTCTAATAAATAAAAAAATTAAGAAAATTATTTTTCAAACATCGAAATGAGACTATTTTTTGTCAAAATCAAAAGATAACATGTAGTTAATTGGTACCATTTTAAACGGGCGCTGTGGGGGTGCTAATTATTCCCCACACGTAACCGACTCCCAAACCCAGACTGCTGTGCAGATCCTAAAATTATCCTTTTAATAAATTTTAATTAATTTTAAGATTTCATTAAAAGGATATATTTGAATAGGTGGCCAATCGCACCTAGCCAAAAAAAGATTTGTGGCGACTCCGTTTTTTCGTTTCCAAATTCGTCGAGCAGCTCAAAAATTGTTATAACACTATGCAATAACGTTTCCAGCAAATGAAAGCAGAAAGAGAACATGAGCATGCCAAAATTGAGAAGGAACATGCTAGAATGGAGTAAGAGCATGCAAAATTTCAACAGTTGCATGATCGATTTGATCATTTTATGAATTTTGTATAAAAATAATTTTCAAGAACTGATCTCGGTGGTCTTCCAACTCAGGTATTATATTTAGTAAATATTTATATTTTTTAATATAAAAAAAGCTTACAATGAAGTGTTAAAAATAATATGCTATTATTCATTAAGTTTTTGGGCACACTAGTGACTAAGGTGAAAAAATTCCTTCATCAATTGACAACCTTCAAAATGTATGCAGTTATTAATTTCATATATTTTAATTTTTATTTTGTTAGTGTATTAAAAAAATTTGAATGTTATTATACTAATTATTAAACTTTGTGCTAATTAGATGCATATTTGAACGTGAATTAAGTTTATATTAATTTCAGTTTCTGAATTTAAGCTCGTTTATGAAAATAATAAATATTAACATAAATTTTTATTTTAAAAAAATACATTTTTTAATTTCACGGTGTTTGTGTTTAAGAATGTTGCTAAATGAAAAATTTAGTGGTGTTTGTACCATAAAATGCCACTAAAAGTAACGGCGCTCTTGCTAGAAAATGCGTTAAATTAGTGATGTTTTTCTAATACAAATGCCACCAAAATAATAACGTTTTTCTGATAAAAATATTACTAAATTAGCGATGTGTTAAAGATACAAATGCTGCTAATATAGCGACATTTTCAGATACAAATGCCGTTAATATAATGGTATTTTCTAGATTCAAATGCCACTAATATAGCGGTGTTTTTCAAATACAAATGCTGCTAATATAATAGCATTTTTCAGATACAAACACTACTAATATAGCCGCATTTTATAAAAGACGTCACTATTTTTTGCGACGTATGTATAGCTGGTATTCTGACTAGTGTTTTTTGCAAACATCAGAAATCTTTATTTGCCATTTATAAATGCCGTTAAATGTTAAAAAAAACACCACTAAAAACCAAAAACCCTATAGTGATTGATCCAGTTTTTATTGGATTTTGATGCTTTTTTTTTTGTATGGGTTTGATAGAAAAACATTTTGATTGAATTTTTGACATTTCAATTTGATGAAAAGACCAAGAAAAATACATAAAAAATGGAGAACCAGTTGGGTTGGGTCAACCCAATTGGAGATTGAAGATGACCATCCCATGACGTCAAACAATGCTTATGTACTGGGAGTGGTGAGTGGGTTTGTTTGGTGTCTATTTTTGCTCCTATTTCTCCTGGCATGCTTAGAATTTTACTTCTAATTTTTTATTAATTTTTGCAATTTTTAAATTGTTACGTGATATTTATGTATTATTTAGTAATTACGATATGTTATGCATATGATTTTGGTTATTCTACTTTATAGTAAAATATTTTGACATGCTGGGAGTAGAATGATAGTAGGTACTCTCCCTAGATAAGCCATAATATTTATGTACTCTTGAGTTAAACTCTATGTGTATAATTGATTTAGTAATTAAAAATAATTTTCAATTAGGTTCAAGACCCAAGTTTAAAAGTAATATATACTATTTATAGGACTTAATGAGATACATCTAGATTTGGTATCTTAGAGTGTTTCATTGCATACACTAAGGTTGAGTATACAAATTGAGAATTTTATGCAATTAATGAAAATTTTTATTTGAAAAAGTTTTATTAATTGATATAAGTGTTTGGTTGTCAAAGTAATTCACTTATTAGACTTAACAGAATATTTTATTATTCTAAGGTTACGAGATGATTTTTAAATTATTTTATACTTATGTTTGCCCAAAGGGAGTTAATATGTAAGATAATTTGTTTTGGAGTATAAAGCATCATGATGAGGATGTACCAATCTAAAAATTTTATCTACTTATTTTTGAAAACTAAGACATTTTCATATTAACTTTCAGTTGAAAGTTCCCAATCACATGTTGCATTCTTTGTTGAAACGAGAGCTTGTATAATGATGCGCAAGACCCTTTTAGTAATTGTTAGCACGAACTGTTGCTATACATTTTATAATATTACCCATGGATTAATGTTACATTTTTGGTTTTGAACAGTAACTTTTACTGTGCAAGGCCCTTACTTTAACAGTTCTTCACTTGTTCTGTTTGCTGTCTGTTGCTGATTAGTCCTCAGTCAAAGAGAGATGAAAAGGCAAACATTATCCCCGTTGCGGAGGATGGAAGGTACCGAGTAACTTTGATCGGCCACTTTCATGTGCAATATAGGGATCTCTCCATTGAATATGTTTGAATAAAATTTTATTTTGCTGAAAATTATGGCTTGTTGCGATTGCGGCAAAGTTATGGTGACCAAAGCTGATATGATATACAGTAAAGTGAGAAAAAAAAAAAAAGAAAACTTCTTCATTATTTTTTATTATTTGAAGATATACCATTTACAAGCTCCATCCTCTCCATTTGTAGGATAGAATATCAACTCATTGACATTTGTACATTCATGAATAGCCATTATGAAAGTTACAAAAGAAAAGAGTATCGGGTAGTAAAACGGAGTCAACAAGTCCCCATAAGCCGTCACTTCTTTCCTGTTTGATCATTAAGTTTCAGAAGTTCATGAATCAAACCCTTTTGCACGGGATTAAGCCAATGGAACAAGTTTGCGGTACTCTGCAAGTGCCCACAGTGGGAAAATGTTCCTATATGCTGCATAGTGTAGCATGCAGTTTTTCATGAAGACTCCAGTGATTTCCTGTCAGGAATAAGATTCAATTGTTAGATAAAAGTTTAGGTGCAGGAACATAATAGTACAATGTATTAATAAATCAAATTATATTTCCCAAATGCTTAAAACAAGCATGTTGCCTAAATTTACTACTTGAATTTCCATAAAGTCTACTAAAAGGTATTTTTCCCTTTTTTTTTTTTTTGTAGTTGAGATTATTGGAATTTGAACTATGATCACTAGAATTAAGAGTCTAACACTCTATCAACAGACTATGTATCTATTGGCTAAAAGGCATTTTCAAGTAAGCTATAGCAAGAATTAGCACCTGTTGGGGAAAGTCACCATCTTCCAATTGAGAATTAATTATCAGCTTTGCAGCGCGGTGAAGAGGCATTGGATCTCTTTCCGCCTGTTTCAAACTTTCAAAGTCAAAAACTATAGAAAGATCATGATAGCTACAATGGGCATTACTTCACCATCAGACTTTTAAACTCACCTGTCCAGCATGAATCAAACCCATCATAGCCCATGCAGTATGCACCAAATTTGATTTACCTTCTTCCAAAGGAACATATCTCTGCATCACCAAGCACATAGATATTACTAATTAAATTAATATTAGTCATATCTCAATGATTTGTAAACATAAAGATTTACCTTGTCAGGGCATGATTTGTAGCTCTCTCCCCAGCCACCATTCTCTCTTTGGGTTCTGATCAGAAATTCAACACCTTTGTGCATAGCTAGACAATTGGTGTATGTCTTTCCAGCTGCTGCTAGCCCTCCAAGTGCAAACCATGAACCATATGTGAAGCAAACTCCCCAGTTTCCATACCTGTTTAGGTGTTGATATAATTGATTATTGATGCTTTCAAAGCAATCATAACACTCCTATTAATTATGAATGTGAAGAGAACATACCATGAACCATCAGGCATTTGTACATTTTCAAGGTAGCGTATAGCGTTTGTAATAAAATCTTCGATTTCTTTCGTCCAATGCCCAGGATACAACTTCTTAAACAAAACCAAGGCATGGATTGCAGATGCAGTGCACTCAACATATTCATGCTCAATGACTATATCAGCGAAAAATTCTGTGGGATTAAGCATCTAGGACCAACAACAGAGAAGAACCATCATTAATATATGAAAATTAAGAAAGAGTACAAAAAGTAGTTTAATATTCTAACAGATTTCTGGCAAAATTAACAGATGCATTTCAATGCTTAAGCACTTACTTCCAACCACTCTTGAGCTCCAGCTGGTTCCCACACAGCTAATCCTCCATTTTTGCTCTATAAGAAGTGAAGCGTCGAAGCTTATATAAATGGACAAGTTAAAATAAGTGAAAGCTATCCTTGAAAATCTAGATTGAGCAAATTCTTACCTGCAGAGAGAGCAGAATATTGACCGCATCATATAACTGCTGAGGTTCCATTTTCTCACCAACAATTTCTGGTGGCAACATGGACATTAGCAGGCAACACTACAAAATAGAGGAATATCTGTTAAAGCAAGATGAATTTATAGAATAGATGTATCACTCAATTTTTTTCATGCATTTGACTAAGACTAAAGAAATTACCTTCAAGCCTTCTGCAGTGCAATCAGAAACTTGCCATCCATGATCTTGATCAGAGAAAGTCCAAGATCCCTTGGAAATGTGACGATGCATTTTCTTGAAATCACCAGAAGGATTCTCCTTGACCTATTCAATTGTATAACAATTATTCTTAATTGATATTTAATGAACAAAAAAAAAACAAGAGATTGGAAATGACTTCAAGATAAGTGAAGCCAATATTAAACCTGAGATTTCTTGATGAAGTCATGTCCTCTCTTGAGTACAGGTCCAATTTCGTGGATGAGGTTACTAGTAAGCAAAGCTTGAATAGCGAAACCAGTATCCCACTCTTGGCTTCCAAAACTCTGCGGACCAATATAATGTGTTAAATCAGCACTTGAAAGGAATCTTTGAAGGAAAATCAAAGCTTGCAAGAATTTCCCTTTTTACCAACTCTGTCAGCACTAAATCAATAAATATGGTTAATTTGGAGAATGCATGTGAACAAACCTGCATCTTCATTCCATCTTCAGCAACCCAAAGGTAATCCGGGATTCGAGCAAGATGCTTTTTAAAATAATCACTATTTGGCTCCTCAGCCCAACAGGCAAGCATGCATAACACCTAGTCCATTCAAGGGCACCAGAACGATAGCAATCAAATAGCCATATATTATATGGATTGAATTTTCACAAGCTTAATATTCTTTTTTCCTTCAACTAAATATGATTGTAAAATTACCTTCCCCACACAACCAATGGTGATGTATCTACTATTCTCATCTTCATAATGGATGTGTTTCATTGTTACTTGAAGAGCCCTCTCCCTGACCAACTTGTTCAAAGGCCAACGAGTAAGCAGAGGCTCGGTACATACGTACAGACTGTCCCACATCAGATCCTGAATCAGAGGATGTGGATAGTAGATATCCTCCTGTAATAACAAATTGTTTATCAATGTTTTAAGAGCTTAATTGTAGCGTGGTTCAAATGTCTTTGCAGTTTGTAGACAACAAAGATATACTTACCGGTGCACATAAATGGCATACTTTATTCCACTTAATTTCATTGTATGGCTGAAGGTAGAGTTCTTCTCTCAATTGTTCAATGAGAGGGGTGATTGGCCCCACGAACCTTTTGCCATATAGATATGACATAGGCATGTACACCATACGACAGTGGCACA